ATGCGCGGATCGGCAAAACAAGGGCTTCATTTCTACAATGGAACAATATCTGGAATTCAAAAAAACTGCCAATCAACACCGAAATCAGAATTTTCAATACAAATGCCAAGAGAGTTCTGATGTATGGAGCGGAAACTTGGAGAACTACGAAAACCATCATCCAGAAGATAAAGGTATTCATTGACAGTTGTCTACGCAAAATATTTCGGATTCGTTAACGACACCATCAGCAACAACGTACTGTGGAGGAGGAAATCAGGGAGAAGCTGTGGAAGTGGATAGGACACACACTGCGAAAAGCACCCAACTGCGTCACAAGACAAGCCCTCACTTGGAACCTCCAAGGTGAAAGGAAAAGAGGAAGGCCAAGGAACACATTACGCCAAGAAATAGAGAAAGATATGAGAAGACTGAATAAGAATTAGACGGAACTGGAATGGAAAGCCCAGAACAGAGTATGTTGGAGAACAACGGTCGGCGGCCTATGCTGCATTAGGGGTGACAGCGTAAGTAAGTAAGTAATGATTTATTGCACATTGTTTGTAGGAGAAGCATGCGGTTTCATCGTTTGCCATAAAATCAACTTAAGAGCATTCACATTCTATTCTTGTCGAAATCTGTAGCCTATGTTGTAATAGACTTAGCTTACATCGCGTGCTCCGAACAAATCAAAACATAGAATGCCTGTAGCATCTGTCACCATGTGTTTAAACATTCAAAACTTCCTTGCTTGTTTAACCGCTCCTACAATTTTGACATAATAGGTAGTTTTTAAAGTTTTAGTGTATACAACGTTGAACTAGTACATAGATTATACATGCTTCATAACGTGGATGATCAGATGTAATACTATATTTTCTGCATATTCATATTAAAATTTATTGTCCACCTGACCTTCCTAATCTATGTAACTTATAAATTTCTATATAAAGGTTGTGCTAACATTTTACTGGAAACCTTTGTGGAATAAGATAATTGTAATTTATTATCTTCTACATCAGGATAAATCTTCTTCCTTCTAAAACTCGTAGCTCATATTATTGGCAGCATCCACTGAATAATGTCACTAGCATTATATTAAACAATTAGGGCTTCTTTAAACTGTCTCACAGATTAGTCTAATTATATATGAATTATACTTAATGTACTAAATTTGTTTCACTAAATTTTAGTTAGTTTGAGCAACTTTCTTTATGGTTCCGTCATTTCATCACATGATTTGTTTATTTCCTTCTAGTTTTCTGGATAGTCATTTTTTTATAAAAAAAATTATTGAAATTAACAATCGCTCTTCCTTCACTAGGTCATAGATTTTTTTTTAATTATATGCCACTAAATAAATAACTTTTAGGTACTTAAATCGTCATTCCTACGTTTATCAGTAAGAAACTCAAGCACAATAATCATGCACAAATATTAATAATAATACACACTACTTCTATACTATGACGCATAAAGTTTCTATTAAGCTCAGTTAGTTTTTTCGGAATTCAACCACCAGGATGAAACCAACCTTACTGGTCATACAGTTAACATAAAATAAATAAGTTGAATTCCATGGAGCAAAATATTTGAAATTCTGATACCTATAGCATTTCCGCTGAGAATTGGTCAGCTAACAAATTAAATTAGTGATATTCTAGACTTAGAGAAACAACTATTATTTCTTACCAGTAAACATGGTTTTAATGTATTGATAAATATCAATCAGAATAATATTGGTCAATAAGTGAAACGAAGTTAAAAAATTGGTTTCCCATTCATATAATGAATAATTGTAGGATAAGATCATTAACACTAATATGCATCAAGCGGTAAGAAACACACTTAATACCACTGTTGGTCATAGTTCATCTACTTTAATAAGATATAGGATATTTGTCTCTCAGAATGAGAACGTTAAGTATATTGTAGTCTCTTAACTGGATAGTTTGTTTATGAGGCATACATTGTTCTTTTAAACATCATCATCACGTGCTTTTAAGAGAAATGAGCCATAAGCTGGAAATGTTCTCCAAAAGAACAATAAAAACTTCATAGATAAACTATCCAGCTCAAAGACTACAACCTATCTATTTCAAGACACTTAAGTGATTTCCAAACTATTTTACTTGTTCCCAATTTCTTTAGGTAATCTTATATTAAATTAGTTTTCATTATAGGATTGTGAAGATTGTTGAGTGTCACTGAAATTATAAATCGATCAACGTTAGATCACCATTAAAAACTTAAAAGCACTGGACGGCCGTCCTAGCATGTGACTCATAAACGTTGTGCATCCATTGTCCCCGCATGTAGGCATCAAACTCAGCGCACAAAAATGCCCAACTTCAAGAAGTAGTTACCCACAGAACACAATGGATAAGTTCGAGCAATATCGCGGATTAATTGAAGTTAGACACTAACTCTGCTGGATGCCGACTCAATGGTCAAGAAGTTAAGCATCCTCTCACGAGACCTAAGGTCCTGGTTTCGATCCCCGTATGTATGGGCTGTTGATGTGCACTTCTGATGATTCCCATTCTAGGATGAAAAGGCCTTCCAGTGCGACTAAGTTTCTAGTGGTATTATTATGTTGATTGATTCATGATTTCAACTAAATTAGTTTATTCGTATATCTATGATTTGATGATTATTATCAAAAAAAGAAACGTATAAGGAAAAAGACCTGTTACATCATCGACATGAAAACCGATCTGGTCAAATAAATATACTGGCATATTATCTGATCAATCTAACATGAGCTTATCCTGCACCTGAGTCACTTCTGTGCTTTAGATTATAAAAAATAGAAAAAAAAACTCACATGACTTACTAAAGATTAGGTATTTTTCCTGTACAGTCAACCAAACTAGAGGTTACACAACTAATTTGTGATCATACAACCTTTTTAAAGAACAAGTTTTCAGTTTGTAACTGAAGCCGATCATATAGGAGACGTCCAATTTGTCTTCACTTAACAAGTTTAATTATTTTAAGATTGGGTATTGTGTTGTATGATCGATTGGAATGTGTATGATTTACAAACATTATAAACACTTTTTTTATTATAGACTGACCAATTAAATAACCACTGAAATTCATAAAGCATTAATCTTTAACTCTTCAAGTACCTTGCATGTCAAAGTCTTATTGTAGGCATAATACAACTCAGGATCGTAGCAATGTCAGTCAACATCATAAATCTTGAAACTTGATGTATATCAAATTCTGTTTCAAATTCTTAACGATTTATTTGATTATGAAGTGTTATTTATATCCTATAAAGTTGTTATGTGACATTATTGAAAATAAAATGATAAGTCATATATTTACTAATGATAATTAGTTAACATCTTGTTTATCCTATATTTTAGATGCATGTCATTACGATTTACTAAAAGTGTAACAATTATCAGTTATTTAAACGGATATTTACACTTTCAATAATTATGATTTTCAAACGACAACACAGAAAACTTTGTATATAAATTCGAAATCGTACACTATTTTAAAATAATTAACGTTTGTCGGCTAGGTACACAAACATTCGACTATCCTTTTTGAAAGTAAAAGTTAATTTTCAAACTGTGAAAGTAACAGTGTGATGGACACTACTCATAAGGTTACTTGTGAGTAGTCCGGAATACTTTGGAGACACGAAGACGAGTTAGGGATGACATACTGTGACCAGTTTGAATCGAAGAACATGTAACAGATAAGAATAGATGCTCGAAGACTACGTGTCTGTATTTCATATGCATATATATATATATATATATATATATATATATATATATATATATATATATATATATATATATATATATATATATATATATATATAATTTCTTTAGCTGGTCTCTACATGCTCGGTTAACTTGAGGAAATTTTCGCTGCTGTTCTCGAAAAAGAACCATCAATAAAATAGACTAAAGAAATTTCGATTTACTTGGGCTCAATTACTGTAAAACAATGGTCAATTTATCAAGAAGAAGTATCTTTCTGTTTAGTGCGTATTTCATGCTGCTTTCTAAGAAAAATCGTCCCATTTAATCAAAATTCCGCTTTTGTTCACCATTTACAAAAATCATGATTATACAACCCCCTCATCATCTGTTATAACTTAGTTGCAAGTTCTATCTCAGTGGTGATTTCCAAGGATGTGTTTTGAACTACTAGATGTCCGAAAACAAATGATTTGGAATTTAGCTGATATCAATAAGATTCCAAGAACTACAGTTTCTAACATGTATTTTTAAGCAGTGATCGGAGCGTAGATCAATCTTTGTCTAAAGTTTTGCCCTCTTTTCACTATCGAACTATATCAGTCTTGCTTAGTTGTAACTAGTAGCACTTTCTCCTCAGTCATAAATAACAAGTAGTCATACCAGCATTTTGTCAGTTATAACTCTCATGTTAATGAAATAATTTTCAAATGTAACAATAAAATCATGATAATCATTCAGATTTGAATAAATAAAAGCAAATCCACGACCTTTTTGTTAATTATGCGGTAATTTTTGTTATTTTTCTTTTGTGGTCTGTGTATGATCAAGTTTGCTGATTGTGTAACAAATTTGAAAATAAGCCTCTTTTGTTTTGTTCATTTTTTTTCACTTACAAATACTTTCAGTGACTGATGGAGCTCATCAGCATGTGAACCTACCTTAACCTAATGACACTGATTATTATCTTCCATAGCAAACTCTAGTTACTATTATTAATATTAAAAAGGCATGAACACTCATCTAAAATAAAATTTCACTTATAATATTGGTTTCTTATTGGCTAGAGATTTTAGGGAAGAGAATTATGATCAATGAAAGGGTATGAAAATAGAAGAGAACTTGTGAAACCATATTTATACATTTAAAAGAATCCACTCGTATCTATTCTGATTGGATAAATCTAATCGGACACGGGGTTGATTAACACTGAGAATGCGTACATATATGTATATATATATATTAGTCGTTCACTTTTTCCACACAATGCATACAAATAACTGTAAGACAAAAATGTTGACTCCTTGCCAAACATCAACACATAATGTACATGATAAATGTAAGACAAAAATTTTGACTCCTTGCCAAACATCAACACATAATGTACATGATAAATGTAAGACAAAAAAACTTGGTCGACCATGTGGAATACCTCTGGAATATCGAGATCAAACAAGACGAGTAGGTGATATTTTTTATTGATACTTTTAGTGACCTATTTATTTGATGAAAAAAATTTATAATTAATTTAAATTAAATGTCAGTCTGTTTTTTCAATAAGAAATCATCATATAACTTGCGTCAATCTGTAAGATAACATGATTACAATATGAAACTGAATATCAAATTCATTATTAGTTAAATTACAAGATATAGTAATCAATGTAACATGAATGATTATAGGAACTTTGAATTATATAACTCTTTACAGGAATTGAACACATGATATTATTAAGTTTGTAGTAATTTTTAAATAGGTTCAACATGTGTCCCCTCTTAATGAATTGATCAATGTGAGAAGTGAATTATGATTACAAACTAAACATCAAATGAAGAAATTCAACGAAAATTGGATAACGTTAGAAAATTTTACACATATTTATTGTAGAATAAATTGAAAACTCATAATTCTTTATGTTATGTTACACCAATTAATGTAACTTGTTCTAACAAAAGATTTTTTCTTAGGTTGTCAATTTTTTTTGCTAATAAAATTCAATAAGACTAGTGAAATGTGTATATATTTTTTATGGAAAAGTTCAGTATTTACTCATTCATTTAGTGTAATAAATGAAATGAATAATTTTAATTCAATTAATTTTTTATTAAACAATTTCAATGGGATTTTGTAATTCATAGTCTAAGCATATAAGTAGTCCGTCTCTTCTAACCATTCGGTTAGTTTTAATATTTAAGTTTATACTGTTATTATTAGTATTATTAATCAAAATAATTTTATTCTATCATCATTAAACTAGGTGACCAAGGTAAGCGAAGCAATTGAATATATTTCATCTGGATAGGAAGCTCCAGTTTCTTTTAAGAAATGAATGAATTCACAATAATTTTGATTATATGATAAGATGATTTGATGACTGTTCATATGCATTTTTGTTTGGAATTTTCTGCGCCTAAACTTATCTTATTCAAACATACCTTGTTATAATAACTATTACTGTTATTATTATTATATTATGTTTTCTTAGGTTGATCAATTGTACTATGAACCACTCAAACATGATTGATCATTTCAAATTAAATTTACTAGTATCATGATGAAGAGTTACATTTAAAGAAAAAAATAAATAATTAACCTAAAATGTAAATAGTATTTAAAAAGTAGAAAAATTTCAGTGTACAATTTACTTATTAGGTTCCATAGTTATACACCGAATAATTATTGTGTTATTTTGTAAAAATCAAAAAAAAGTATACATTCATAAATGTTATATGTTAAAAGTGTTTGAATTTTCTTAGTTGTTAAATAGCAGATGATATTAAATGCGAAAATACCATTAATAAAATGGGTGAATAAATTTTTTTCCAAAATATAACTATGCATTATAGTATTATGAAGATGGTAATCTTACCTTGAAATCATGAACGAATCATTGTTAGACCACCTGGAAGCACTGGATGGCCATTTCTTACTGGTATGGGACTCTTCAGTAGTACGCATCCATGACTCCTGCTACTCGCAGAATCCGAACGCAGGACCTTCAGTCTTGTGCGCGAACGCCTAACCTCTGGACCCCCGACTCGGTATCCGACGGCGATGATGTCTAACTCTGATCAATCTAAGGATTTTGCGCAACCTCACCAATAGGCTTCGACATTCATTATCTACACCCGACATGGTTGAACTCTATACTATAATATAATTAGTACATTACAAAATAATACATGAATTAATCGAATAATGTTGACGTAGATCACAAAATTTATATGTAAATACTTTTCAATGATAACATTGTTTTTCTTTTGCTATTTTTTTAGTTGAAAAAACAAAATTTAGAACGTCGTAGACGCGCATGTATTTCAGATAAAATGAATGCTTTACATAATTTAGCTATGAATTTAATTGGTAAAGATGTAAGTTATTAATGGTTTTTATCGTTTTTTTTTTTTTTTTGAAAAAAGTTTACATTTTTCCACTGAGAATTTGTCAGTTATTCTAATTATTGTGTTAAATTAACTTAAAATTTATTATCTACATTCCTCAAATGGTCTGACATATTCCTAACATTGTTCAAACCATCATGAAAAACTGAAATCTAATATCTGTATAAAACTGTGTTGTGTGGTCTGCTGTGAGATAACGAGTGTAATTAAATTTTGTTTGGAGATATATTTTCAAAGATTCTAACTATGAAATTCTACACAAAATTTGATGGTGGCTTGTAGTAGAATTCGGAACGCGTGTCCCATTCTATTAGGGATGCATGAGCTGAATATAACTGCGTTTCAGAGTTGATGTGCATTCTCGGACTCGAACCTGGTACCGTTCATTTAAAAGGCTATCGCATTATCCACTTAGCTAAATACGTTCAATGCTTGTAACTTCATGGCGATATCAAGACAGTTCATTTTCAAATATATATATATTTATATAGGTACATCGAAGTACCTACTCATCATCTTCACGTAAAACCTGAAAGTTTCCAGTTGAAAAGCAGTCCGACTAGACGAACCAAGTGAGCGAAATGATCGAAATCCGTTGGTCGTTTATGAAGCATATTGTTTCACAATTCAAAACTTTTCTTATATGAGATGATCTGAGTTGACTTACATTTATGGACAATTGATTTCATGTATGAACTTCATTTTTAGAAGTCGACATTCAAATACTGACCGACTAACAGAGGCGAGTGTAGAGTGAGTATTCATATTTGACATGACGACGAGGGAAACGATTTCTGATTAGATGATGTTGATGGAAAGTATTGATAAGTTGTACTTATGTAATTTTGGTAATTCGTTAGTTGTGTTGAGAAGTGATACAGATAATTAAGATGATTCAAGTCATTTCGATTTATCGTTTGTGCAATCCTCTTTAGGTAACATCTGCTTTTAAGTAGTACCTTGATTAAATTACTAAATCTATGCTAATCCTTCTTTTTTTTTACGTTATTAGTTTTCTGATGAGATCATATAAAGTATTTTCAAACACTGAAATACTATTTAAGTGATTATTTTTATCACTTATGGTCTCATTAGTATAATTTAAATACATATTACAAGTGTTGAAATTTATATTACTTAGAGTGAATATTGAAACGAATCATTGAAGTATATGCATTGGATATATGTAGCCAGTGTTTTTTTTCTAAAACTTGAATTATATTCCTGTTAGAAAAGTTAATAATGTTGAGAAAAATCGCACTACGATACTTACAAATGTAAAATACTTACGAACGAACTAGTCCACAATTAATATTAATTGTAATTGAATGAAATTATTTTACTCTAAGGAATAAGTATTTGGTGATTGAGATGAAAATACTGAAGAAGAGAAGGCGCATCACGTCAGTAAATTTCACTATGAACTGGAATAATGTGTAATTGTAATTTTAAAGATATGCATACTTATTGTTTATTAAATAGTGTCAATTACTTTGAAAGATTTTTGCTATTCACACGAAAACTGTTAATCATTTGTGTTATTTTAAACAATGGAATAAGGAATATACGTTTTAGGCTCATAGTTTTTAAGTTCAAATTCGTAATTTAAATAAAAAAAGGGCCAATTTATTAATCATTTCACTTTAAAATATGTAATCTAATTTTAGTACAACCTTATGAAAACAATTATATTGGATGTTTGTTGCAGAAAACATGAATGATTATAAATTTGAATATCGATGAACTTAACTCCATCATTGAGGAAGTTTAAAATATGTCACTGAAGTTGAGGTTTTTTAATTAAGCTAATGAAATATTTTTAATGAAGCTTGTCATGTATTTGATACCGAGAGGGATATTCTTATGAGAATACAAATGAAGGTATTATATCTTATCATAACAAATATACAAAGACTATTTAACTGACCTCATGCCTATTATTTGATTTATGAGCCAAATTTGAGGTTAATCTGTCTACATATATATATAAACAATATGAATTATAGTGACTGGTCTAGATGACCCGTTATTACGATCATTCTTCATCGTAATTTCACATAAATTGAGCACTTGTTTGAGCACACATAGTAAACAATTTACATGCAGTTTGAATGACCTTGATTTAACTGTAGCACCTGATTAAATAAATAAACATGTATATATTCATGAATATAATGATTTTGTAGGAAATATTATTGTGAGCTTAAGTTTGGCATATAATTTAATTAATAATGTGATAGTACACCAGTTTCATCTTTTCTTACTGGTATTTATCCCCCTAAATACTATGAGATACTAAGTTATTTTTTTGTAATATACAATAATCAAAATACTCTTTCATATATGAGTAGTCGTTTATGAATTTTAACGATGATAATAATAGTAATTCGATTTGAAATGGATATTTTGACTGAAATTTGATCAATCTTGATTGGTATATGGACATGCTGTGTGGATTGCTTCTGTATAACCATTAAAACATAAGTTTTTATAGAATAGATAGAATTTGGCTAGCAATGCAATCCGGATTGGATGGTGGGTTTAAGCTCCAGAGTTAACATCAAACCTGAGATGGAGGTTCGTCTTGGATTTCACTACTAGTCACATTCTATCTATTCTGTATAATTAACAATAGCAATTATCGTAGTATTCATTAATTAGATGGTAACCAGTAACGTCTAGTGGCTTTTCTAAATGTTCAATATAATCTATTGATCAACTTCTACATTTTAACCGTACTACTACATATCTGTGTATTAGAATTAACTACAAGTGAGCTTTTTTGAATGGTATTTATTATAGTCCCAATCATTCACTATTTGACGAATATAAATACGTCAAAAAATAATGTAGATTATAATCTCGGAGACTACATTCAAACAAAAAACAGGATTATCAGATTACTTTCAAATGTACATTTTACAAAACTACTTTTAAAAGTAAGTGTGCTTTTGTTAGCATCCAACTGTTTTTAATTCAGAAAAATTGTAGATACTTAAAGTCAATATTCATTAAGTTTGTTCCTTAATTTTTCACTTAAACAATTAAGAGAGCTTTCATTCATTTGCATTGGCTATTTGAATCGTTCCATTGATGTTTAGGACTGTAATTGACCAGTCTCTTTGGTATATGTGCATTCTGTGAGGATTGCCCAGATATTACCTTTGGGTTACGAGCATTATTAGTGGAGGTGAATAGTGATTAGTAATTGAATACACTAGCAAAATCCAAACAACCAATACAAATGATTTGATCTTCGCCCCATTGTACAAGCCAGTCTCTTTATGGACTCAGTAGCCGAGTGGTTAACACGGTGGTATCTGAAACAAAATATACTGGGTTAGAGACTCGGAGTAAACAGCAACTCTAAGATGCAGGTACATCTACCTGACGAGTCCCAAATGGGACGAACCGATCATTCTGGATTCCACTGCTAACCACTATTCACCTCTGCTAAGAAAGCTTTCAGTCTAAAATTTTAATTTTTGTTTGATATACATATCTACTCCAACATACCAAATAATTATTTTTAAAAAAATGTTAAAATCCACAACATAGAGTGCAATTATTATCTTGTACAAATGTTCACAAGTAAATTTGATCAAATTTATTAATTGCTCTTGATTATAAATATTATCTATCAAAGCATTTTCAATACCTACTTGAATATTTTGCATAGAGATTTATATATGGTTAAGCGATATCTTTCACTACCACAAATCAACATCATTGTTAGATAACCTCTGGCAGGATAACATTATTAGCTAATGTCTCTCCTCAGTTAAAAAATTTACCTGATCACTCTAAATAATTAATCAGTTCTCTAGTTTGTTTTTTTAGTTATCCAATGTAAACAGGAATGAAACAAATTTAATATTATTATTGGAATTTAATTTAACTAAATATTGAATTATTTATTAACTGTGTTAATTCATGTTTTGTTTTTTTTTATTAAGTAATTACCATGTAATGATTTTTTTTTTATTTTCTATTTTTCACATTGATTAGCCTACACAATATCATAAAATTGAAAAAACTGATATTCTGAATATTTGTCATAATGTCTTTGAAAAAGTTGTCGCTATTGTCAACGAACAACCAGGTGAGAATTGTACTAATTTTTTTTAATGCTTTTTTTGCTAAAATTTATATATTCTCACCTAAAAGAAAAGCTTTTGTTTGTTTTGATTTGTGTAGCTGGTCAGCACCCATATGATATAAGTTAATCGTCTAGTTAAATTTAATTATTCGCTAAAGAAAAAAAAACACACGAGTAATTATCTTTGTTCATTTCATAAAGTGATTTTTAAAACCCGATGATATAGTTCTGCTTGGTGAAGACGCTGACAAAATGCAGATTCTTCTGATTACGGGATGCGGTCCTCCCCCTTCGAAATGCAAAATGTTGCTTGAAGATTGGCTTTCATCGGTACCTAAACTGGTGATAGGGAGTGAAGCAGTCGAGCGTATAGACCGCTTCACTTATCTGGGGAGTCTCATCAGTGCTGATGGCATGGTTACTGACGAAATCTCAACACGGATACAGAAGGCTCAGTTGGCATTTACCAACTGGCGTTACTTATGGCGTAGTCGAGATATCCGTTTGCTGACTAAAGGACGAGTGAACTGTTCGCTCCGTCCTACTTTATGGCTGTGAAACATAGCCAATCAGAGTAGATGTTCGTAGGTTTCTGCTTTTTGATCATAGGTATCTCGGAAGCATTGCTCGAGTATCGTGGGACAACCGAGTAAGCAACGCTGTTTTTAGTAAACGAGTTCCAGTTAGGGATGGCAAATCAATAGATGAAGTATTGAAACTTCATCAGTTGAGGTGGTTGGGACATGTGTTGCGTATGCCTAACCACCGACTGCTTCATTGATCTATATTTTTCGGTGTAGGAGTAGGTTGGAGGAAAGCTAGGGGTGGCCAGACCAAGACATAGCAGCAATCCATGAAGTCACCGACAAGTGGACTGAGTCATTTCGGTAGTTGTTGACTACCTGGTTGGGGCCCGCGAGACGAAAGTCACCAATGGTTAGAGACCTTGAACGAAATGGCTCAGAATCGTTTGCAATGGCGCAGGTGCATTAGTTCTTTGTGTTCTATAAAATTTCTCCGATTGCTGCTAATACTTCTACTACATCTACTACTATGGGATTCGAACTAACAATTACATCTCTGTGCTAATATGGTATGGCAACATGAAATGATGTACGTACGTACGTACGAAGTTCTACGTTGCTGTTGATTGATTGATTGAATTTTTGAAAAATTTAAAATAAATAAATGAATAGTCTATCGATTGAAAATTTGCAAATTTTTATTCTTTAATCAATGGACTCTTAGTTTCGTAAGTAATTCATCCTAACACTAGACAGCAGTAATCTGACAGGAAATAAAATTTGAATTGATTGAACCGATTATTTGTTTGTTTGTTTAGTTATTTTAAATTGAAGTAACTTTGTTCTACTAATTTGAATAGATTACCAACACTGTTTTGAATTATTCGTTATTATTCTGTTTATCTTATAAAATTAAGGTTAGGTCTAACAAAATTCTTTCTAATGATTAATATTCTTCGTTATACAAATTTGGCAGTATTTTCTACGAATCTTAAATATCGACAATTTTTTAATCAATAAATTTGTTACCTGTTAACTAATATATATATATATATATATATATATATATATATATATATATATATCAAAGTATACAGAAAGGTTCTTTTCAGCACACCGATTAGATAGTACATGATCTGAGTTTGTGAAACAATCTATTTGAATTCATAAACACAATTTTCTTTTTTTTTTGGATTTCGAAACATTTGTATTCATAAAAAGGAAAAACGTAAATAAATAAATCATTTAAATTATTGTATCAACTAGTGCTTGATTCATTTCTTTAGTTAAATCTGTCATCATTTAAAGCCGAATTAATTTATCATTTGATTTTCTTAAGTGAATATATATTTCAACCAACTGTTTCTCACTTATAAATTGTCATTCTTCACCAACATTGTCTCAATACAAATCAAATCAACTAGTGTTTTATCCCAACTGTCTATTAATTTTGAATAAAGTACACTATTTAATAACATGCCAAATGAATAAATGAAGATCAGAAGTGACATCCTATGCCCCCCTCCATCTCTTAGGTTGTTTTTTTCTTACTGAGTAAGTATTTGTACTCATGTATGGATTGTGCGTTTTTATTCTAATAAAAAAAGGGAGCTTGAATTTATTCAATTTTATAGCACTTTGAATTATATTGTTTAGTTTACTAAGATGTGTATACTTCTAGTAATTTTACTGTTATCGTGCCAATAACACTATTTATACGTGTGTATCATTGATCAATGCGTATATTTTTCTAAATCAAATTAACTATTAATATTTTAATGGTTGTTTAAACTTGTTGTGTTAGACATTTGTTTGAAATGAACATTACTCTAGGGCATTTGACGAATTAAATTGAACAACAATAAATTAGTATATAAGAGCATGGATTTATCTACTTTCTATCCTTAGATTTGTAATTGTACATATTTATAGTGGTAGGGGTACTTCATGAAGTCCAATTTCGTTGACTATATATCAATTTCCCAGACGTTGTCTGTTTTCAGTACGCAATGGAAACAGTTGGTTTATCAAAGATAGACCTTAATCATATATATATGTGTGTGTACACATGTGTGTATGATGATGAGACAGAAATGAAGAAATATTCATAAAAATCTGAATATTTTTCAAACCACAAACAACTTTAATATCTTTATCATTTTTTTTTTCATTCTGTCTATTTATATTCCTTCATAATTCATGATAGTTATAGTCTATGGTAAACTTGTTCAATAATATCAATTAAAAGACAACAAAATCAAGAGAAAAGTTTTCATTATTTTGGAGTACTGTGTAATAAGTTTGACAACAGCTTAACTTTATCTAAGTACTTTTTTGATATGTTAAATGTTGATAACTAATCAAATAAAATATATAATGCACATACAGCGACCAACCTTACGTGAAATGGCGCCAAGTATCTTGTTAATCCGCTATTCATTTTGATTAAAATACAAAAAACAAATGTCGTACAATGGAAAATAAGTAAAATTTAAAGTACTCAAACTAATTTACCCTGAAATATTCTGAAACAAAGTTATATAGACTGTTCATAATAAACACAGAATAACAATCACAAGCCTTGGGTAAGATAAGCATTGATTAATCTATGCTAAAAAATATTCACAAATAATGGTCAACTGTTTGGTAATTTTTAAAACATTCAATCCAAATGATCTTACTATGAATTGCGTATCGAATGGCTACTAACTGGTGAAAAAAAGTGAGTGAAGTTTATCGATTTTAGGTAAAGTTCTACTTGATCCATCGGTAGAAATGACCAAATCACTGTTAAATAGGTACTTGCTTCATTATTCACTTCTGTTACCTCTGGCAAAGCATAGGTCGACGACTAGCACTCTGCAACCAACTCTGTCCTGGATATACTTTTCCGGTACTACTCAATTGCTATTCATTCTCCTCATATCTTTATCCTATTCTCCGCGCGGTGTGTTCCTTGGTCCACCTCTGTGTCTCTTACCTAAAGGATTCCAAGTGAGAGCCTGCTTCATGATCCAGTAGGAAGATTTCCACAACGTATCCTATAGACCTCTAACGCTTTTCCCAATCTCCTCCTTAAATAAAAGCGAGTTTGTTATCTCCCAAGGAAGGTTGTTACTAATGGATTTATATCAACGGATTTACAGTATCTTGTATACACAACTGTTTATAAACTTATGTATCTTATGGATGACGGCTTTTGTAGTTCTCTAACTTTCCACTCCATACTATAGAACTATCTTGACGCTAGTATAGTAAATTGGCACTCCGGTGTTTGACGATAGTTGTTTTGAGTCCCGGATGTTCTCCAATAGTAGAAACGATGTCCTTATCTTACATCTGTATCAGATCCATCTTGTTTATCAATGATACTGTCCAGATATGTAAAGGTTTCCACATCTTCCAAGTATTCTCAAGTGTGATTTGGTTGATGCTCAATGTATTGTGACTAAGGGTCGTAAATTTTCCATTTTGAATGTTGAGGCACTTCTCCACAGAGGCTTCTGCTGCACTAATCGTCCTCACCCACATCTGTTACTGTATGTGAGATAGAAGACCCACATCATCTGTGAAGTCCATTTTTCTAGATGTGTCTAGGTTGTCCACTGCTTACCCTGAGGTGTTGACGTTTTCACAATTGTTTCAACTACCGGAAGAAAGATAAAGGGTGAGAGTAAACACCTTTACTTGATACTGGAAAGAATTCCGTATAATGTCAACAATCTCTTCAGGTGCATTAAGTATTGAAGAACGTTCTCCTGTCCACACTGTCAAGTACTTTACCATAGTCAAGGAAGTTGGTGTACAGCGGTGGGTTCCAGTCATTTGACTGTCCCACAATGATCCGTAATGTTCCAATTCGGTCAGTGCATGATCGATCCTTACGACATTCAGCCTGCTGATCTGGAAATTGGGCGTCTACGAAGTCCTTCATTCTGTTAAACAACACTCTACTGAAGACTTTTCTTGTTGTTGGGAGTAGAGTGATACCTGTATAGTTCTCACACTTGCTGAAATCTCCTTTCTTTAGTATCGTGATTAGGTCTCCTTCTTTCAGCTATGTTGGTAATTGTTCTTTTTCCATATACTGCTAAAGAGAATGTGAAGCATTGTTATACTTACTTCTAAGTCTGCTTTCATTACAATGATACCCTTCCAGTTGTTTTCTATAGTAGCTTTCTCTTCACTAAGTATATCGTGAAAGGCCTGGAACTCATTTGTGAGTTAGGTAAGTACCCTATATTTAAAAATAGATTTTATTTTGATAAGGCAAAATTGAAATAACTCTTTATAACACGCATCAATTCATTACAGATAACTAATAAGGACTGTCAACAATCGAGACACATATATACATAGTGTCATGTATTTCGTAAATTAGTTGGTTCTGTCGTGAGTTATTTATACAATTTTTTAAATTGTTCTTGAGTAGTATTTCAAAATATTTCACTAGTATTTCAGTTATTTTTTTACCCTCTCCTCATCACATTTTTCAGATATACTTGAACGAGTACATCAATTACGCAATAAATTAGATGATAAATTAATTCCAGACCATTCTTATGCATCAAAAAATAAACAGAATATCTGTAATGATGAGAATAATGATAGTAATGAGAAATCTCATTTAAATAACTATATTCCATTTAATCATCCGTTGAAAATGTATTCACATAATAATACTAATGATGATGACAATGATGGACAATGTAATTCATTGACTACTTTCAATCCTAATGAGAGTTCATCTCCATTGTCTAACCAAAATTCTCTTCAATATTTCAATAGAAAACTTCATTCAACTCCCTTGACATCAATGAAAGTATTGAAACCCTTAACAGATAATCATCATATTATTCAACCAATATTGAATATATCATATTCACAATCACTAGACAGTGGTATTGATGATATTGAGAATACACAATTAGATGTTGCTTGTAAATCACAATCAATAAATTGTATACAATCACAACAATTGTTAAAAATGTCACAACGACTATTTAAACAAAACAATGATACTATTAAACAATCAATGGAGAATGAAATCTATGAGCAAATAGTTGATTTGTCTTTTAAAAAACAAAAACACACAAATAATATGGAAATTCATCAAACCAGAGAAGAATCAAAAGTTTGGCGACCATATTTGGATTGATGAGTTTAATTTTTTTCATCGATTACAATCCAAACGAATTACATTCAACGGGAGAAAAAAAAAGCATCCATTTATTTCTTTTTACTTTTATTCAGTTTTGTTCTTATTTGTTTCACGTTTTCTACTACTAACTTTCGAGATACATCAATGGTTTACTCATGAAAAAAAATATATAAATAGATAAATAAAACATTATCAATACATCGATGACTGTTTTTTTTTTGAATTCTAGTATACTTTTCCGTAAATTAGCGGTTTGCATAGAAGCAATGGTAAAAATTACCTGACGTCCAGACAATTTCGAAAATTACTTCTCCATATTGATCAACTATGACTAATTTAGGCAGTACCAGGTTCATATTTATGAGCGTACACCTGATCGCCAGTTTCGTGTGCATTGTATTCGCTCCTTACTACAATTATATTGAATATGGTATCTAGTGAATTGTCCCAGAGTTTGGATCTATCGAACCAATATAACAGTAACATGTTTAGGTGATCATTCATTGTGTAGCATAATCTGCTTATAGTCACATCATTGGGTATTACCTTGGGTTGCAGTTTTCCAATAAGCTTCATCTAAGCATCTATGGGAAATATGGTCACCGAATCGGTTAGTTACAGAATAGTTCTTCCCATCTTCTCATTCTCTTCGGTGACAGAGTAGTCATGCTTGAGGCAGCATGTAACAGTAAACCTATTCAGTGACAAATCATAAATATATATTTCTGCGATAATTGCCTGGACACCCGTTATACAGTAGGTACATAAGATTTTAGATGTTTATTGTTGAAGCCAGTCTTCCTGCAGGCCCTCGATCGGGGACGGCAACGCTGATAATCACAACAGGTGTCCTTATGTATTGAGAAATTCTGTTATAATTGGTATCTTGTTTACTTTATAATCAAATACAAGACTTCATAATTAGATGAAAATTAAAAGGTATCTCAAATTATAATGTAATTGAAAATACGCAAAGAGTAGTGTAATTTAAGATTAGTTAATTCGAATTTATGAATAATACCTGATCAAAATATATTTTAAAGAGTTATCTATATGCAGCTTGCCTAAAAATTTATTTTTTAGATCGTGGAGAAAATTTGTAGCTCAGATGGATGATTGTGGTAGTGTTTCGTTCTCAGAGCCGATGATATTATTCAGAAGAACAATGAAAGCTTCACAACCAAAATATCCAGGGCAGAGAACGAAACACCACCACAAACTTATTTTTCCCCATTTATGTTATCCAAAATGCTTAAAAATTAGAAAACCTTGATATAATAGCCTACATTGATTTTGTTTTAAGGTACCTTATGAATGAAAACAAATATGGCCTCATGTACGCTTATTCATGTTTAGGTTATTCCAGATATTTAGTTAGTGCTAATAAATAATTTTTATTAAATCACTGTGTAAAATAAATTAATATACAATTCATTTGTTTTTACTTGTTATTATTGGCTTTACAAAAACCAGTTTCTTTTGCAAACATACAAACTTCATTTGTAAATAGTGTTAAATTTCCAGTAGTATCAGTTTATCTGTGAAGTTTATGACATTCGCAATATATCAACTTAAAAAAAATCTCGTACGGTAAAGACAATACGAACTGGTCAGTTTATAACCATTGTATACTGCTCATTGAAATTTGTTCATAGTATCCATTAATCTAACAAACAATACCTTTCAAACTCTAACAAGGCGAGATTTTTTAGAGACAGAATGGTTTTTTGTAGATCGATTAGCTTGTTTCAAGTATTCAGCCCATTCCATTTCAAGTACCACCTCTCTAGTTAACTAACAAAAAAATATCTCAGTGTAATTTTTCAAATCTCTAAAAATACGAATGAAGATAAAGTTTATAATTATCAAAATTACATTTCCAAGTAAATATTATCGAATACTGAATGGTACAAATAAAATCGCAAATTTCGATAGAGCATTAGCCATGATTGTCATCAATTAGTAGTAAATATATTTACATATACATTCAGAAAGATTGAAACTCATAGAGTTATTCTTGATTTCAAACTGATCCATGGTTTAATAGCAAAAAAATAAGACCTTCCACAGTAGATCAGCAATAATGTGAAAAAACAACGATAAATTTTTTCTCGGTTTTCATGAATTTCGCATAAGATCTCATTGCATCAGAGAGCTTGTTTACTTACTCCTGTCATCACTAAAGGAACATAGGCTAACGACCACGACTTCCTAACCAACCCTGTCTTGGGATGTCCTTTCAGGTTGTTCCTAGTTGCTACTTATTCTTTGCAAGTCTGCTTCCAATTCGCAGCTCATTGTGTTCTTCGGTCTTCCTCTTCCCCTTTAATCTAAAGGATTCCATGTGAGAGCCTGCTTCGTGAAGCAGTTATGTGATTTCCTCAGTGTGTGTCCTATGCACATCCAACGAGTTTTCCTAATCTGATCAGCTGAAAGCGGGTTATTTCACTGACACAGGGAGTTGTTACTTGTGACGTCTGGTACAAGGATCCGAAATATTTTGCGCAGACATCTAGTTTTAAATACCTGCATCTTTTAAATGATGGCTTTCTTAGTTCCCCAAGTGTCCATCCCATACAGAAGAGCTGTTCTGATGTTTGTATTGAACATTGAGACTTTGGTGTTGATCGTGAGTTGTTTTGAGTTTTAGATGTTCTTTAAATGTAGAAATACTACCCTTGCTTTGCTACTCCGCTCCTTCACATCTGCATCAGATCCACCACGCTCATCAATGAGACTGCCTAGATATTTATAGGTTTCTATATCCTCCAGAGCTTCTCCATCACATAGGATTTGATTGGCGCATGTAGTGCTGTAACGAAGGTTCTTGATTTGTCTTTATGTACGCTGAGACTTACTGCTGCATTGACTATCTTCATCTGTATCTATTATTGTATGCTGGACAGAAGAGATAGACCGATCACCTGAGAAGTCTAAGTCGTCCAGCTGTATCTGAGCTTTCCACTATGTCCGGTGCGTTCCCTGAGATGTTGTTTTCATAATCCAGACGACCACCAAAAGACAGAAAAAGGGTGAGAGCAGGCAACCTTGTCTGACACCGATCCTTACTTAGAACGAGTTTGTGAGCTCTCCTCTATGTACGGTTTTGACGTGTAGTCGATCATATGACTTCCGTATGATGTCGACACTTCTCAGGCACGTCTTAGTGTCGAAGCAGCCTCCATAGTTTCACCCTATCTACGCTATTAATTGCCTTCCCGCAGTCAAGAAAGTCGACATATATTGGTGAGTTATGTTGAATTAATTTCTCCAACAGGATCGATATTTTTGGCTGCGGTTTGGTCGGTACATGATAGATCGTTACGGAATCCAGTCTGTTGTCCTCGAAGTTAATCTTTCATTTGGTTCAAGAACACTCTGCTCAAGGCTTTTCTTGGTATTGAGAAAAGAGTGATGCCTCTATAGTTCTCAAACTTGCTTAGATTTCCTTTCTTTGGTATATTGACGAGGTAATCCTCCTTCTAGTCTCTTGGTACTTGTTCTTCCTGCCGGATTTAATAAGAGAAGCTTGAGTAAAATAGAAATCTTTATAAAATAATTTTTCTAGGCTTATTACTATCCACTCCTACGGTCATATAAAACTGACAGAGCTAAAATTATGCATTTGACTAAAGAGTATAACTATACTTGAGCAGTAATACATACAATCTCTACAATTCAATTTCAAATGTGCATTATAACAATGAATTCAGGATAGATTAAATTATGGGAATATATTTCAAAATACTAAATTGAAAACGAAACTAATCAATTAGAGAATAGTTTAGTTCAGTATGATATGTTTAAATTACTTTAGTAAAAAAGGGAGAAAAATAGATAAGTTGAGGCTTCCTTAGTAATCCAGTTATTAGTTTTTAACTTTCTAATCGCATTCCCATCCGTCAAATTATATTATCAACTTAATAAATATGGATTATTCATATTTCGTTCGGACAATAAATTTAGCTGATGAAAGTAATATATTCTACAATTCACAATTCATCGTAATTTTTATACTGTCTCTTCAGTACTATAAAAATTCATATAACCTGAAGTTTATAAATACTTCTGCCTGATTTTAGTCCCCAGAGTTTTTTTTATTTTACTGCAAATAAAACAAAGTGAGATATGTTGCTTTCAAGGCTCCCAGTTACACTGTTGATCTAGGAATTGACAGAAATATTGATGTACGTTAAAGTAATTTCGAAATATGATTTAGTCTGCAAATAATTTGGTATTCGGGAAATAGCCATAAATATATGTCAAATTGTGAACTACTATCTTATCAGATAATGCATTGTTTAGGAAAACCATTGAGCGTTTCACAATAATATTGATTTAAACTTATTTAAGCCTATTGCCAAATTAATTGCTTTATTCCTATTCATCATAATACTGATACAGGTTAAACTGATTTTGCACTTTATTAGTAATTAATCACAAAATAACAGTTTGAGTATAAAATATCATTATCATCTGAGCCAAATTAATTTCTAAACTAGTCTAAACATGCGTACAAAAAAGCAGGGATTTCTATAATTAGAATGTCAATAAATTCATTTACTCTTTTTTTGTTTAACAAAAAAATATTCAACTCATAAGTTGAATTATTGACCTATTTGATATTCTATAATTCCCCCAATAATATGAGTCATAAGAAATAGATAGTGAAAATGTGAATTAGGAACACCTACGCATAAAAATTACAATAATATGATCGTATACACGAGTAAAGGTAAAACAATATTGATAGAGTGTATATTTTATCTAAATACTTTACAATCACGATGATATAAGTAGGTCACCGCTTTTAGAGTGTTTATTGATTGTAGTTGAGATCACACGAATATTCATGAGAAATTACAAAGTACTTATAAGTTATTTCTCAATACTGACTTGAATGAAATCAAAAATTATCATTCTAGGAGTTTTTCATTCATTGAATTATTCAAACTGCATTAACATACTAATTAATGAGTCAGATTGATAAGCACTAACATTTTCAACGTCTGTTTCTTGTGTATAAATTGATTTATTCAATAATAAATATTTTCAATAT